CCCTAGCCCCCACCCCTGTCCTGTAGTTCACCCTCAGTGATTCAGCAGCATCCAGAAACCCGATGGCATTGAAGGTCTGTAGATTGTAGGCGCTCCATCCCAGGAAACAGGAATGGAAACTGAATGTCCACCCCCACCTTGTAGAGCCCTCTCTCTCACTGCAGGTTTCATGGAGTCTGAGTTGAAGAAGATTCTATCGGTACAACGAGAGTCCCGCCTCTGGAAGGTGGGCAGCCTGGAGGGCCGGGAGCTGTTGACCCAGCCAGAGATCATGCCAGCATGGTAGATGGCCAGGTATGCCTGGCTGCCCCACCCAGTCCACTAGCCCATCAAAGTGGAGCTGTGGCTCTCTCATCTCACAGGGCCCTGGCCCCTGGCTGCAGCCCACTGCCTGGGCTCTTATTTTTAATTTTATGTTTGTGAGTGTTTTGCCTGCATGTATGTGTGTACCACATACATGCAATGCCCTAGAAGGCCAGAAGAGGGTTCCCATCCCCCGGAACTGGCTTTATGGATGGTTGTTAGCCACTATGTGGATGCTGGGAACTGATCCAGTGTCCTCTGCAAGAGTAGCCAGTGCTCTCAACCACTGAGCCCTCTTTCTAGCCCCTCCTGGGGTCTTCTTGGAAGGGTCTGGGATACCACTTTCTTTTCAGGAGTAGTTCTGAGTTCAGGACCCTGGTCTCCCATGGATACACACACACACACACACACACACACACACACACACACACACTCTTCAACAGTTCTTACCTGAACCAGTGAATGTTTTTGGTTTTTTTGTTTAAGACAGTCTCATGTAGCCCAGGCTGACCTCCAACACACTATGTAGCCAAGACTGGTTTTGAACTCCTGATCTTCCTACCTCTACCTCCCAAGTGCTGGGATGACAGGCAAGGGAATTGGTCAATCTTTGTCAAGATGGACTAGAACTTGACAGTGTTGCTGTTTTTCTCTTCTCTCTTCCATTCACACCAGTGCCCACAGACACACACATGCTCTCGAGAGCAAACACCCCTGCACCCCCATCTCTTGCTCATGCTCCAACACATCACAATGGAAGGTTTAGGACTGTCTCAGCTTCTCTGAATGTGTGTTGATGGGTTTGTTGTTGGCCGACATACCAGTTCCCTTTTCTGAGTTAATTTCTATGTACCCATCATCCCATTTTGTGACTCAGTGGACTCTCTGCCCTGATGGCCTGTGGTTTATACATAGGAAGAGCCCAGGTTCGAAAGCTAAGAGTCTATTTGGGGGTCCCTGCCCCTGTATCACCTACTGTGTGACTTGGACTCTTGGCCTCTCTCTCTTTCTCTCTCTCTCTCTCTCTCTCTCTCCCTCCCTCCCTCTCTCAAAAATATTTTTATTTTTTAAATTTTTAATATTTATTTTTATTTTATATGTATGAGTGTATTGCCTGTGTGTATATAAGTGTACCTGTGTTGTGCAATGCCTGTGGAGCAGAATAGGGTGTTGAATCCCCTGAAACTGGAGTTATGGATGGTTGTTAACCGCCATGTTGGTGCTGGGAACCGAACCTAGGTCCTCTGCAAGAGCAGCCAGTGCTCTTAACCACTGAACCATCTCTCTAGCCCCTATCTTCCTTTCTTATTTTATTTTATTTACTTATTTTGAGACAGGGTTATACTGTGTAGCTCTGTCCTTGAACTCACAGAGATCCACCTACCTCTGCCTCCAGAGGTGTGCGCCTCAGTTTCCTGACCTATAAACAGGGCTGCTGTAGGGATAGGCTGAGCTGGGAAACACAGAGCATAGCTCTGAAGGTCTCACAGTGTTGGGGTCAATGGCTGCCTCTGCTGGGGTGGGGTGGACACTGAGGACGGGCCTTCTCACTGTTTCAAGTCTGACTATACTCCCCTGTCCCAGGAGCCCTGTGTCCCTCACCTCTAACCAGGCAAGATATACAGGTGCTTGGTTTCCCTCATCAAAGGGCTCCAAGCTTGGAATCCATCTTCCCCCTCCAGAATCACCCTCTGAACCCGCCTTCCCTTCCCATCCTGGACTCGCAGTTCTGGGCTAGCCTGGGCAGCACTGGGGGTCAGGGGAGTTTCTTGGTGGTGCAGGTAGAGGCTCCCAGATTTTCTTTGGGGTCAGAGCTGCTTCTGGAACTACTGCCTCCTGTAGTGGGCATTCAAAGTTCCACACTCTTCCCAACACACTCCTCTGCCGTCAGGGCCACCTGCTGAGGGGGGATGCCAGGGACCTGGGCTGAGGGGGAGGGTACAGAACCCCTTTAATGTGGTACCCAGGGCAAAGTCAAGAAAAGATAGCTGTTGCTGGGGTACTTGGCTTCCAAGGAACCCCCAAGTCAAAGGGAAAAGGGTCCCTCCATTTTATGGGAAAGTTGGCTCATGGTTGCTGAACCTGGGCCAGCTTTGGGGTGGTGGGGGAGGGTCTGCAAAAGGTGGCCTGGGGTGCTCTTCTGTGAGGGGGCAGGGTGTAGATGGGAAGGTTCTGGAATGCAGAACAGGGAGGGAGTATCTTCCTTCACTCCTGTCTGCCCACAGCACCTGCTCCTGGAGGAGATGGATGAGATGGGAAACTGGCCTCGGGAGTAAGGCCCGTGCCAGCAGGAGCCCACCCTGCCCACACCTCTGGGGCCCTAATATGGCATGTGTCTCTCTTTCTGGGACATACCCAAGGAGTCCCTGAGGCCCTGGGCTTTGGGATGAGTAGTGTCCTGTGTATGTGGGGTGGGCCTCCCCAGCACTGTCCCTCCCTATCAGATTTGGGCAGATGATGTTATTAATAAAAACTTAGTTTAACATTAGCCTCCTGAGCTATCTGTCATTAGATGCCCAACTCCTTGGCCCTCATGCTCACCCCTGGAGTAAATTGGTTTATCAAAAAGAGGAGTATCTTATCTAGTCCCTAACCTGTGCTCATTGAACTGCTAGGGCAGCCTTGCTGCAGAGAAGGTGCCACAGCTGGGCATAGGGTCAGGGAAGGCAATGGGGTTTGGGCCATACCTGGGGTTGGGGAAGGACCCATGGCCCTCAGTGCTTGGGGAGGTCCCACTGCTTGCCTTCAAGGAGGTGTGTCCTTGAGTTCCCTCTTTCCCCAAGTTCCCAGGCCACTCGGTGTCCTTACCAGTAGGATCCGGGAATTCTCCCAGCAGGAAGTTCCTGCCCAGCCAGCTCAGGGACAAAGCCAGGAAAGAGGCCTGGAACTGTAGAGACCTGCCTCACCAGGGCTGGCAAGGAAGGCTGCTTGGGGTGGGGGTGGGGGGGCAGGTGAGGAAGGGAGTCCCAGAGTTGATGAAAGAGAGGTTCCTAGACTGGACACTTCTGGGATCCTGAGCAGGGGTGGTTAGAAGGGTGCTGTATAGCCTCTGAGGAGGACCAGAGTGTGGAGGACCAGTGCTGCCTAATCCCAAAAGGGACTTGAGCATGGAGGGTCTCCAGTCCAGGCTTCCTGGGATCAGATAGGCTGCAGGACCAGGCTCTGTTTAGACGCCAGGAGGTGCTGTGGTCTAGGTATTCCTCCTGTCTTATAGAAGGTCCCAATTCTTCCCCTGGGCCCAGGCTCTGAGCATCCCTACAGGTGTATGGAAGAGACCTTGCAGCACCCATCATTACCACTGACATCTACGGAAGCGTTACTCTCACGTGCTACACGGCTGCCATTGTCAACTTGACACACCTAGGAAGAGGACCCTCAGATGACACATTTCCTCCATCAGATTAGCCGGTGGCCATGTCTGTGAGGCATTTTCTTGATCATTGAGTGATATGGAAGGACCCAGGTCACTGTGGGTGGTCTTGCATTGTATAAGGATGAGGCTGAGCACAGGTCAGCGGAGCGAGCCAGTAAGCAGAGTTCGTCTGTGGCCTCTGCTTCAGTGCCTGCCTTCAGGTTCTTGCCCTGAGTTCCTGCCCTGGTTTCCTTCGATGAACTGTGATGGGAGTGTGTAAGCGAAATAAACCCTTTCCTCCCCAAATTGATTTTTTTTTTTTTTGGATCTTTTTGAGACCCCAAATTGCTTTCGCTCAGTGTTATATCAGCAATAGAAAGCAAACTTGGACACCTTATATCTAGTTTGAGACCTGCTGGAAACTGAAGTTCAATATTAGATGTGATGGTGGTCTTTTTTTTCTTTTTTGAGACAGGGTCTCCCTGTAACCCTAGCTGGCCTTGAACTTGTTATGTAGATCAGGCTGGCCTTGAACCCACAGAGCTCTGCCTGCCTCTGCATCCCAAGTACTGGGATTAAAGGCATACACCACTCTGAAAAATTAATTACTATGATTGACTACAAGGCTGTCTGCCGATGGCTGGTCCTGGGCCCACGTCCTTGGGGTGGTGGGACACCACAGCAGTCACTCTAGCCCAGGGCCTGGCTCACTGAAGGTGGGATCTTCTTTACTCTCTGGCCACCACCACTGGGGGAGGCAAAAGAACCTTGGTTTAGGGTTCGTGGTGGGGGGTGAGGAGCTTTCTCCAGGGTATCCTGGACAGGGCCCATGGAGCCCTTGACTCAGAGTCTGAGCCGGAGGCTGGTGCAGGGCCAGCTGCACTGTCTCTGAGTCAGCCAGGAGGCTGTCTTATGACCAGATGACTCACCTGTGCCCTAATTGCCCTGCTAATCACTTCCTCCAAGTAAATAGGGGCTGCTGGGAAGGGTGGGGCCTTGGAGGGGACTGGGGACCCTTGGGGAGCATGTAGACCCCAGGAGCAAAGCCTTGGTTCAGCGTGAGACCCTTGGTGGGCTCTTGTCTCTTTTCCTTTCCCACAGTGATGACTGTGGGGATGGCCACACCTCCCCGTCCACTCCAGGATTCCTGTGAAATCACAGAGAAGGACTGAGAGGCAGGGGCATGGAGTGCTGGAGCTGTCCCGGGAGGGTGGGGGAGTCAAGAAGAGGGTGTGTGTGTTGGCACAGGTGTCTGGCTTCTTCCTAGCCCTGAGGGGTCTGGGACTGGCTTCTGAGGGCGGACTGGCTTGGCATGCAGGGTGGTGATTGCAGAGGTCCAGACCAAGGTCCTGCTGTGGCCAGGGAAGGCCCTGGTGGTGAGTGGAAGCCTGTAGACACGCCTGGGTCCAACATGGGGACTGGGGGCATCTCAGGGTTGCCTTCCCTTGCTGACTGAGAGTCAGGAGGCCTTTAGGCCTTGATGGGTGGATCAGGCCCTGCTCAGGGTCCTCGGCTTGAAATCCATCTGCCAGGCTCAGGAGATGACATGGGTCGGGAGCATCCATTTGCTCGCAAGGGCAGTAGGATGGTCAGGCTTGTAGGGTGGAGTCCTCTGAAGGTTTCTCTCATCTCTGCTGGTATCTGAGTCTCTGTGTGTTTGTCTTATTGTGTCTCACATACACACCCCCTCCCCTCCCCCTCCTATGCTGTGGGGCAAAGTCAATAAAAGCAGCCTCACGTCCACTTTAAGGGACTTCCTTGAACTTGGTAGAGGCCACAGGTTGGGTGACTTGGAAGTTAGGGGCAAGGTGGGTGGGACCCCAGAGCAGGGTCTCCAGGGGGGCTGCCTGCCTGGTCGCAGCTCTTCAGCCTTGCCTATCCCGGGGAGCGGAAGCTGGGAGGGCAAACCATCTGCAGGGTCCTCCATTGTAGCTGCAGAGAAGGATGAGGTAGAATCTAGAGACGGGGCAGCAAGACAGGACACCTGTCAGGGGGACTTCTCACTCTAACGAGCTGACTGTAGACCAGACCCCTGCCCTCTGAATCTATTTCCACTGTGTGAAATGGGAAAATTGGGCTCCTCCTGTGGGCTGGGGGAAGGGCCGCTTGGCTCTTCAATCCCAGGACCAAAACGAACAAACCCAAAACAAAAAGGATCTGCTAATTCATAGAATGTTCTCAGAGAGGAGATGGATGCAGCTCAGTGGTAGAGTTCATGCCTAGTGTACCCAAGGCCCTGGGTTCCATGGGTTCCATCCCCAGTGGGGCATAAGCTGGGTGTGGTGATGATGGCCTGTAATCTTAGCACTTTGGGAGGCAGAGGCAGGCAGATCTTCGTAAGTTCAAGTCCAGCCTGGTCTACATAGTGAGTTCCAGGACAGCTGGGGCTACAGGGAGACCCTGTCTCAAAAAGACCAAAGAGTTCAAAGTCACAATAGGATACATAGCAACTAGTAGAGGCCAGCTTGGGGGATACACGAGACCTTGTCTCCAAAACAATAAAACAAAATCAAGAAGTAATTCAAAACAAAAAAGCTGCATGACAGAACATCCTAGCAGGATCTGTGGACAAATCATTAAGTGCCTGGCATCCCAGCACAACTGGGAAACTGAACACTGAACACTGCATACGGGCCACCCCTGTAATTCCAGCACTTGGAGGCCAGCCTGCGCTACATCAGACCCTACACCAAACAAACCAACCAAGCAGGGCAGGGTGCATTTGGGGTTCTTTACTACAATGGGCACCCTGGGCCACACCTCTGGAAAGGGGTGATATAGCCCCTCAGATGGCACCTCCCGCCCGCACAGAAGGTGGAGTGCCGGGCCTGGGGTGTGGAGTCCAGGAAGAGTTGGTCCCAGGCCTGTGGGTCGCCCGTGGGTGCCCGTGTGGCTGGAGGGCAACAGGGCATGTGCACATATACCTGCAGCAGAGAGCCCAGCCACAGCACAAGGCCTCCATGGAGCATGCCCACCTACGAGGCTCCAACCAGGCAACCGTGCCAGTTTGCACTCAGGCAGTGGAGCTGGTGGCTTCCTGTGCCTTAGACACAGATGAATGCAGCCTGTTGATAGACCTCGAACAGAACTGCTTGCCTACAAGAAAAGCTGTCAGTCGGTGGGAGAGGTGCTGATGGAGGCAGAGGGAGCCAGTCAGAAGCCTTCCTGGAGGAGGCATTTGGGATGTAGGCTTGTGGTAGGAGCTGTCACTGGGAAGACAGGAAGCACAGACCTGCAAGTGATGGCAAAGGGTCCAGTATGCACAGGGGAGCCACTTTCCTGTTCCCTGGACTTCAGGACCTTGAACTGATCCTCCTGCCCCACCTCCCAAGTGCTGGGGTGACAGGCAGCCTCTTTCCTGGCCAAGTGCATCCCAACATCTCTCTCTCTTCATCTCCGGGGTCTGTTGATGGTTAACCCCTCGCTCTTCCACCCAGCCCCCTCTCAGTGTGTGACTCTGTCCCATCAGCAGCAGTGGCTTTCAGGAGTAAAGGGGAGCGGGGAGGTAGAGGAGCAGCATTTCAGCCATCCATTGTTTTAACCACTCTACCACCTTCAGCGGGACTGTGTAAGCCCATCTAAGTGACCCAGCAGGCATCCCCTGGCCAGTGGGAGCTATAGAAGGGTAGGTGTCAGGAGGAGGGGCAGGGTAGCTGTGAGCAGTGTCCCCCTGTGAGCCTGTAATCCCAGTACTGGGAGGTGGAGGCAGGAGGTTTAAGAGTTTAAGATTGGTGGTTGGAGAGATGGGTCAGTGCTTAGAGTACCGGATGCTCTTCCAGAGGACCTGGGTTCAGGTCCCAGCACCCACATGGTGGCTAACAACCATCCGTAACTCCAGTTCCAGGAGCTCTAATACCCTCTTCTGGTATTCACACACACATGCACCTATATGCAGGCAGGCAAAACACTCATACACATAAAAAATAAGTTAAAATTCTCTGCTGCTTGGTGAGTTTGAGGTCAGACTGGGTCACTGGAGAACAGTAACAAACAAAGCAATGCCCAGTGTTTGTTACAGCCAGGCTGCTGGGGGGTCATGGGTAGCCTGCCTTTTCTGTAGATCAGCTGTGTGACAATCTCCGGCTGCCACTGAGCAGCTCTGAGTCCTCAAGATGTCAGTTTCCTGTCTCATACAG